AAAAAAACGAAGTCCAGATGACATGATTCAACCTTTTTTGTTGTTATATACCTGGATGACTGAGAAAACAAACTTTGTGTTCTTCAAAACTTGCCTCCATTTTTTGACGGTCTTTATCATCAGTCAAAATGTTTGGTCTCTCAGCATCCAACTTGTAATGAATGGATCATCACTGCGCACGTGTTCAGCCTTAACAGTCCTCTTCCAGGTACAACAAGAACCAGCTGAGCCGAATCTACCCCAAAGGAACGAGGGTAGACAGCTCCAACTACATGCCTCAGCTCTTCTGGAATGTTGGTTGCCAGATGGTGGCGTTAAACTTTCAGACTCTCGGTAAGTACTATCTATCTTTTAGCAAGCAACTAAAAAAGTAAAAAAAAAATTAAACGATTAATAAAATGGTGTTCATAGTAAACTATCATACCTGAAAAGATTATAATTTCATATAAAAATGAGGTGTGTGTTGAGCGACTGCTGAAAAGGGTGGGAGTGAGTTAAAAATGGAAGAAGCACCAGACATAAAAAGACATAAAGGACATTTAAGGGACTAAAAAGACACACAGGGAGATGAAGGATGCGGTAAAAACCAAAATGTAACCAAAGGGAGACAAAAATACAAAAGTAATGCAAAAAGAGACATAAAAAAAGTATGTTTGGAGATACAAACAAGCTCATGATGCTTGAATCATGAAGCTCGTGAGTCTTGAGAAAGATGCATCAGGTATCAGGCTGACACAGCACACCTTCCTTCTGTTTATCCTCTTTTTACCTCCTTTTACAGCTCTTTAGGTCACCTCTTTCCTGAAGCCCTTCTTTGGTGTGTACTTGGTGGGTTTGTGCACCCTGTTTCAGTTCTAGACGTCAGGTGCCAAGGCCCTGTTATAGACTGGGTACCTGTCCAGGGTGTCCCCACTTTTCACCCAATGAAGAAGATTGATGGATGAATAGATAGAAAACGTATAAAAGTTACAAAAACTAAAAAGTCTTAGCTGTAATATCTTGAATGAGCCAAACCTTTTGGTTTGGGTTTGACTTTTTCAGAATCATAATAAACTTTATTATCATTGTACCGAGATACAGCGAGAACATGTTCATACAGTCGTCCGAAAGATCCTTTTCAGAATTCCTTTTTAGTTAGAAAAGTAGCTGCCATTGATGATATATGTATAAAGCCTCATTTACATTCTCTCATTAAAATATTTAACCTTTGAATTTACATGTTGTACCTGAATGCACCATGAAGAGAATTCACTGTCTACGTGTGCTGCCACAAAAAGTTGTGTATTAGCACTTTTTTTTGGTTACAGAAGCACCCATTGCACGACGGCATATTTATACAAGTTAAAAGACCAGCTCTAGTATTCACAGTTTTCCATGACTTACTAATTCCATTAGGCCTGTCATGATAAACAATAAATCAATTAATCGCATGATGAATGAAAATTATCAACCTCATTTTCATTTACCGGCTTTATCGTTTCTTCGTGTCTCTCTCTTTCTATTAAAGACACGCCTCAACTCTGGTGCTCTTCACTGAACCCTCCCTTTCTCTTTAAAATCCATTTTAATCGTCCAAAATCGCGTTTTTGGATTGTTGAAACCAGCTAAGCTACGAGCTAAGCTAACAGGCCGACCTCGGGAATAAACCGCCGTCTTGTCGAGTTGTTTTTCTCTGCAAAAAGAAGCTGAGAACTTGTTTACTGATTTTTTTTTTAATTAAAAGTTTTGTGTGGAAAATGCTATGCTAAAGAGCTCAAATTACGCAGTGTCTGCCATGTCACCATGTCAGCCCATGTCATGTCAAGGGCCCTCCCTCCCATTATTCTTAAAGAGACAGCTGCTCAATTTTCTATCCTTTGGTCTTATACTGCCATGAGGTGGTCAAAAAAGGTACTACACCCCAAACAAATAAACTTTTCTTCTAAAATTTGACAATTGTTAAATTTCAAACAATATTATCGTTTATCGCAATAATTTCTGAGACAATCGCCCAGCAAAATTTATTGTGACGGGCCTAAGTCCCATATATTACAGTCACACTCTTGAGTTCCTGTTTGTTCCTTCCACGCTGTTATTTCACATTTAACTACCTGTACATAGTTCAACCTACTGCAACCATTTAAACTTCTAATTGTTAAGAGCGCTCAGGAGATGATTGCCATGACTTTTGGTCCTTGTGCCATTTATGAGTTTTGAAGTATTAAGCTGAATATAATCCACTGTATCCATTAGGATACATTGGATTATTTTCAGCGGCTTAGATTTGGTCTAAAACCGCTTCCCTATGATATTTTTTTAATGGAAATTCCAAAGACTTACAAAAGTCCAGCCAACTCGTGATCTATAAATACCATGCAGGTTTTTTTTAGTTCTCATCCAGTGCTGGCACCTTCAGCCAACTTCTCATCTTCTGCCTCTACTTTGTTCCAGCACGATCATTGTTACTTTCACAGCTTAGTGCAGTACACAAGTTCCTGCCTCCGACTTGGGTGATCTGGGTTCAAATCTCAGTTAGACAATCCGATAATGAACATTTGAAAACGACGACTATGACTGGCTTTTGCTCACACTTCAGGAAAACTATACAGATATCTTGGACTTAAATGTTTATACTTAATGTTCAGCTATTCAGCTTCCCCTTCTTTCTAGATTCATTCATTCATGCACACTTGCTTTTTTTGTTTTGTTGGAAAACCATTCTCTAGCCTGGTTTTTGAGTGAGGGAATATGCACTTTGGATTTAGATTATCCTGTCAATTTACTATTTGTACCCTTGTGGTTCTCGTCACTCAGATCCTGCCATGCAGCTGAACATGGGGGTATTTGAATACAATTTAAACTGCGGCTACCTACTAAAACCGGAGTTCATGAGAAGACCGGACAAACACTTTGACCCTTTCACAGAAAACATTGTGGATGGAATTGTTGCCAATACAGTCAAGATAAGGGTAAACGGAGTTCTTGTGTTTGTAAAACAGCTTCTATGTGTTTAATATTTCCAAGCTGCTGCAATGACAATGTGAACTTCCATCTATCCAAGGTGATCTCAGGCCAGTTCGTGACAGAGAAAAAGGTGGGAGGTGTGTACGTGGAGGTGGACATGTTTGGACTCCCAGCTGATACGAGGAGGAAGTTCCGAACCAAAACATGCGTGGCGAACTCAATGGACCCTTTGTGGGACGAGGAAACTTTTGTCTTTAATAAAGTAACTTGCAGACCACACTGTGGTTCATGTTTCTGTCAAATCTTTATTCGCATCTTCCGTCTCCTTGTCTGAACCTTGTCTGTTGTCATTCAACAGGTGGTTCTACCTTCACTGGCCTCTTTGAGGATAGCGGTGATGGAGGATAACGGCAAGTTTATCGGACACCGAATTCTCCCCGTTTCTGCCATCAGACCCGGTTAGGACACACACTGTTCAAACCAAGCATTTACATGAACTAAAGAAAGAGCCAAGTCTTGATTTGATGCATGTTCTGTCACTCTGTGAGAAACACTGATCATAATCTACCCTGTAAAAATGTCCATAATTTACCTCCTGCCACCAAAGGCCGAGCGGCACTCCCAGTCAAGATGGCCACTACAGCTTAGCGACTGTAGCAAACACAAAAAATGGCCATGACTTATCAAATTTGACATCTTAAGCTTGAATTTGTAGTAGCTAAGGGTCATCCCCATGATTTAAGTTGAGTCCAACATCTTACAAGATCTGACAGTATCATATCAAACTGTGTATGAGGTCATTGACGAGGTTTGACCAAAAACAGCCCCGTTCCTTCTGGTGTTCGTATGGATTCCTTCAAAGAATACTAGGACGTTAATTTATTTTACCCTTCTGTTAAGGCTACCGCTACGTCAACTTGAAAAATGAGCTGAACCAGCCACTAATGCTGGCCTCCCTGCTGGTTTATACAGAAGTTATGGACTACATTCCCAATGAGCACCAAGGTAAGAACACCAAACGACCCAACCTTGAAACCGCTTCACTGGATTCACTGACCCTGCTATAGGCTTTCCATCATTAAAGGCTCCATACAAATGGTGGACTGTGCTACAGAACAAGTATTTTTGTCATTGGTTATATTCTCCATCGTCTACTGGTTCACTGGGGTCGGGTCGCAGCGGTAACAGATCCATGGGAGACTGTATTTGTTAAACTGCATCCCTGTTTCTGAAAGTAAATTGATAAAATGGTTTGGTTCTGAGTGTGACCTTTTGGCAGAACTAGTTTTATTTTCCAATGCAAACAATTTGATATTTACATAAATCTCAGTTATACTCGTGTAAAAATCATTTGTTGGCTATCCTAGCTTAGTGGTTAGCATTTCTTTGATTCTCACCCAATTTATTTGACCTCTGTTTGGGTTTGTAAAATGTATCTTGTTTTTTTTGCACCACTTAAGTTTTGCCACCCCAACTTTTCAGTGTTTGAAGACCTTTTCATGTGTAAAATGTTAATTGGCCTGCTTTTTCCCTCCTCCATTCTGTTTTATTCATGTTCGGTTTTGTAAGCTATGTAGTTTAGCTAAGGATTGGTGTTTCATTGGTTTATGTGTCCTCAGAATATGCTGATGCTTTGACCAACCCCATCAAGCACATCATTGGGATGGACAAGAGAGCGGACCAGCTCGCTGCTCTGATTGATGGCTTTTACCCTGAGGTGAGACGCTCTTTAAGATTTTTAGGCTTCGAAATGATGCGTAGTTTGTTGGAATTTGACGATTTATCACCTGGCATCAAGCTAGTTTTGTGTAGGAGAGTGCCAGTTTGAAAACTTGATTTTGATTGGTCAGGAGTGATGTCATGGAGCATTCCAGATGTGTCTTAAAAGGGGAATCCCCAATTTTCACATTGACTCCAAATTTTATACAAAGGGATTTCCCCGTGCTACAGCACATTTGGTGGCGTTTTTTGTTTAGAGCATCTGTCCGCCCAGTTAAAAGACTTCACATCACCTGTTCTACTTCAATCGCTTCCTGGCAGTGTTCGTTTATAAGCTTTGTTCTTCCAGGATGACGTCCTCGAAACTGATGCAGAAATCAACAAAGAGAATCAGGTTTTTAAAACGGATCCGCTCCCCTGCCTCTTACAACCGCTTCCCACGAGTCTTCCAGAGGATTCCCCAGACATCATCAGGATACCTACACAAGGTAGAGACGTCAACATTCCCGTCTTATCAGAGAACATCGTCACGTGCTGTTAGAAATCTATAAGGAATCGTTCTACTTTCGGTTACCGTACATTTGCTTAAATTATGTTTCAGTGCAGTTCAGCCGGACTTTTTACTGCTGTTGGTCATGAAGCGTGTTCAGATAATCTTTATATTAAATATTTTTTGACTAATTTTCAATTTTAATTGAGTTTGTTTTTATGTTTAAAAGTCAACTTTGGCATTTTCAGTATTACACAATGTAAAATGTAAACGAAGTGTAGCAAAATAAAGTACAAACGTTGGTTTAAAGTGCCAACGTCTTCATGTCAAATACATTTTAAAAAGCGCTGGTAATTATACTGGCAAACTAAACAAACAAAATCATCAAAATACAAAAAAATGCTAATCATATTTAGTGTTTCGACTAGATCCAGGGCGCTCATTGTAGGTTTTATTTTTTGTCGACCAGGGGCGGCGGGTACGGGACGGTGTCGCGTCTGTGGTTGCCCACTAGTTTAGCGCTACCTTGCTGCCGGTAATTGTCGAGGGGTGGAGGTGGAGCTGAGCGCTACGTCTGTAGCATTTTAGCTAACGAGGCATGGAGGAAAAGTCACCTCTCTGAAGCGACGTCTGCCTCGTATCTTTAAAAAAAACTACGATAAACAAACTCCATTAGAGATCCTCAATTAAAATCCTTGATCTTAGCGATAACCTCCCAAACTTGCATTGTTAGAGCAAAAAACACACGCATAGAGCTGGTTTGGTGCGTCCTTAAAATTGGGCAGTGCTGCAACAAGATGTTGGAACTGTAGTTCCACATGGGGGTGGGGAATATTCAGCCCCAGTGGGGCGTGCCTCAGTTTGAGAACTAGTGATCTAACAGATGTTAAAGCTGTCAGCTTGTGTCTGAACTAAAATATCAAATATATATATATAAATGTAGTGTAATGTGTTTAGTGTTTGTCAGGACTTCATTTGTTCCCTCAACCTTTGAATTAATGTACCGGTAGTATTCCTTCATCAGCAATATGTATTTTCATTAAATAAATAAAACGCCAAGTCTAGTAGAAATCCAAATATTATTTGTAATTATTTGTAATTGTTCAGATGTAGATTAAACTAGAGGAATTGCATTTCCTGTGAAAATACAGTGTGAGTGCTTATTGCTGAAGAACTTGCTGAAAATGGCTAAAATGAGCTAAAAACGTACTGCAATTTAGCTGAACTGGAAAAACAAGCCTAAGTTAGTAGAATAAAGCAGAAAGAACACATACAGTGCCTTGCGAAAGTATTCGGCCCCTTGAACTTTTCAACCTTTTGCCACATTTCAGGCTTCAAACATAAAAATATAAAATTTTAATTTTTTGTAAAGAATCAACAACAAGTGGGACACAATTGTGAAGTGGAATGAAATTTATTGGATGTGTCAAACTTTTTTAACAAATAAAAAACTGAAAAGTGGGGCGTGCAGTATTATTCGGCCCCCTTGCGTTAATACTTTGTAGCGCCGCCTTTTGCTGCAGTTCCAGCTGAAGTCTCTTGGGGTTTGTCTCTATCAGTTTTGAACATGGAGACACTGAAGTTCTGCCCATTCTTTCTGCAAAACAGCTCGAGCTCAGTGAGGTTGGATGGAGAGCGTTTGTGAACAGCAGTCTTCAGCTCTTTCCACAGATTCTCGATTGGATTCAGGTCTGGACTTTGACTTGGCCATTCCAACACCTGGATACGTTTATTTGTGGACCATTCCATTGTAGATGTGGCTTTATGTTTTGGATCATTGTCTTGTTGGAAGATAAATCTCCGTCCCAGTCTCAGGTCTCTTGCAGACTCAAACTGGTTTTCTTCCAGAATGGTCCTGTATTTGGCCCCATCCATCTTCCCATCAATTCTGACCATCTTCCCTGTCCCTGCTGACGAAAAGCAGGCCCAAACCATGATGCTGCCACCACCATGTTTGACAGTGGGGATGGTGTGTTCAGGGTGATGAGCTGTGTTGCTTTTACAACAAACATATCGTTTTGCATTGTGGCCAAACAGTTTGATTTTGGTTTCATGTGACCAGAGCACCTTCTTCCACATGTTTGGTGTCTCCCAGGTGCTTGTGACAAACTTTAAACAACACTTTTTATGGATATCTTATAGAAATGGCTTTCTTCTTGCCCCTCTTCCATAAAGGCCAGATTTGTGCAGTGTACGACTGATTGTTGTCCTATGGACAGACTCTCCCACCTCAGCTGTAGATCTCTGCAGTTCATCCAGAGTGATCATGGGCCTCTTGGCTGCATCTCTGATCAGTCTTCTCCTTGTTCCAGATGAAAGTTTAGAGGGACGGCCGGGTCTTGGTAGATTTGCAGTGGTCTGATACTCCTTCCATTTCAATATGATTGCTTGCACAGTGCTCCTTGGGATGTTTAAAGCTTGGGAAATCTTTTTGTTTCCAAATCCGGCTTTAAACTTCTCCACAACAGTTTCTCGGACCTGCCTGGTGTGTTCCTTGGTCTTCATGATGCTCTCTGCGCTTTGAACAGAACCCTGAGACTATCACAGAGCAGGTGCATTTATACAGAGACTTGATTACACACAGGTGGATTCTATTTATCATCATCAGTCATTTGGGACAACATTGGATCATTCATAGATCCTCACTGAACTTCTGGAGTGAGTTTGCTGCACTGAAAGTAAAGGAGCCCAATAATATTACACGCCCCACTTTTCAGTTTTTTATTTGTTAAAAAAGTTTGACACATCCAATAAATTTCATTCCACTTCACGATTGTGTCCCACTTGTTGATTCTTCACAAAAAATTAAAATGTTATATCTTTATGTTTGAAGCCTGAAATGTGGCAAAAGGTTGAAAAGTTCAAGGGTGTACTTAACCAAATACTTTCGCAAGGCACTTTATTTGCTGAATTAAGTTTAAATAGGAAATTAGCACAAAAATTATGAAATTAGCCAACAAAGCTGAAATTAGCAACAACAACAAAAATGCTGAAAAGTAACTGAAAATGCAGAAAGTAGCTTAAACTACCAGAATGTACTGGAAAGAGCTGAAATTAGCTAAAAAATGTGGAATTAGCTGAAAAAGCTAAATTTAGCACAAAACAGCTAAAAAGTAGCTGAAATAGGAGAAAAAGCTGAAACTAGCAGAAAAAACTGAAAAGAGCATAACAAGCTGGAATTAGCAGAAATAAGTTAATTAGGCTGAAAGTAGTAAAACTTACTATGAAAAAACTTGAATTTATCTGAAAACAGCTGAAATTTGTTAAAAATGTTTTTAAAAAGTAGCTGAAAAGTTAGAACAAGCTTAAATGAACAGAAGAAAGAAGAACCAACACGTTTGCTGAAAGAAGCCGAAACGAGGACAAAAAAGTGGAAATTATCTGAAAAAACTGAAGTGTGGAGATAAAACAGCTTAAAAGGAGCTAAAAAGGCAGAAAGAAGCAAAAATTACAAGGAAGTGAAGAGAGCACATTTTTGCTGAATTAGGCTGAAAAAAATGGAAAAAAGCTAAAAGAAAATGTGGAATTAGCTGAAAAAGTTTAAATTAGCATAAAAACAGCTGTATAGTAGCTTAAGTAATAGAAAATGCTGAAACTTGCAGAAATCAGCTGAAAAGAGAATAAAAAGCTGAAATTAGCAGAAAGAGGTGACAAGAAACGCATAAATGTTGTAATTAGCAGAAAGAAGCTGAAAGGAGAACAAAACAGCTGAAATGAGTTGAAAATATTTTTACATTTGCACAAGGAAGCTGAAAGAAGCAGAACAAAATGCAAAAGGATCAGTAAAAGGTTGTAAACAGATCTAAAGATTTGTAAAAGCTAAATATTTCAAAAAGCTAAAGTTGTATCAATACCAAAAGTCATATCAGGATTGTCCTGAAAGAGCTGAACGTTTTGATCTATGAAGTGTTGAAATCGTTTGGAAACTGCGGGACGAGAATCGCACCAAAAAACCTACAGAAGAAACATGGATCACAATAGAGTGAATGCTCCATGAACATTCACTCAATAATTCTTTCAACACAAAGTGAATTCATGTCTTAGACTTACATTTAAGCTCATGTCTCTTGTCTGTTTGGTTCATTCATCCATCATCCATGCTAAATGTACTGTATGTGTTTTTGTGTAGTACCTCCACGAGATACTCATGTAGCGTCTGTCCTGACAGGTAAGGTCATCACAGAACGTTCATTTTGTTTGTTGCATTGAGCTTCTTGGAAAAAGTGTTTATTGTTGCTTTTATTAGACGGACAGGCTGGACGTGGTCGATCCTAAAGTTTTCTTTTTGTTGTCCATTTTGTCTTTTAGAGATCCAGGTTTTGTCTCTAAAAGAACTGAAGGAGCACAAGAGTTACGATAAAGTAATGAAGAAACAGATTAAAGACTTGAAAGAGCTGAAGAAAAAACACCAGAAGAAGGTACGAGCTAAATGGAAATACGCAATTCAAAATCAATTTTTTTAAAGGAAAATTCTTTTGAACTAAATTAAAGATGAGTTCCATTTTTCCTGTGCTCTAAAAGTATTTCTTTTTCGCTTGTTTTCACCAGCTTCAGGCAGAAAGCCAGAAAAAAGATAAAAACTTCAAACGTAGCATCAAGAAAGGGTAAGTAAAGGCTAATGAAGGAAGGATTAAACAGAAAAACAGTAAAACAGTTTCAAAGGTGCTTCTGAGCTTGAAGAAACTGTTTAGCTATTTGAAACTGACATTTTAGGGAAAGACTATTAGCAATGAATATCTTACCTGTTGTGGATAGCTCTTTGAATGATCTCAGTTTGAAGAAATAGTTTCGTTATGACCGAAATGAAGAGTTAACAGCTAGTTTGAGCAGGGCCAAAATGAACAATGTTTTCTGCCATCTTAAAACAACTCTCTTCTCAAAGTTCAAACAAAAGATATTTATAGACCTTTACACATCCACCATTTTCACATTACACATTCATTCGGTCAGTTTTCTTCTCTGTACTTGTCAGCTAACCACTGTTTAGGTTGTTACCCTTTTTCTATACTTTTTCAAGTTTTCACATTCATTTTACAATTATTTTGCCATAACTATAGATATATATCTGTTGGAAGTGCCACAGGCAGCAGTCAAAGTGCCACAGTTAGCTGCTTCCTATTAGCTAATAACTATATTTCTTTGTAAATAACTGCCTTACATCATGGTTTGCTACCAGTTGTAGCTGTTTAGAAAATACTTGTAGCTACATGTCCTTTTATTTGGCTTTTAATTTACAAATGCTCAAACACTAACAGAAGCTAATCATGATTTTTTGCTAGCAGTTTTCTTCGTTTTAGTAGCCAATTAATTCACGTTACTTAATCTCCCCTTTTGTATTTATTTATTTGTTTGTTTATTTTTTATTTATTTTTGGCTACATAAAGTTAAAAAAAGGTTTTGAAAGTTTTTGTTTCAATTTTAATTAGATTTTTTTTTAATGTACACTAATGTCACTCATGTTAGCAAGGTAAACATCACCAACTTGGTTAGCCTAGCTTAGTGGCTAATCTGCTCCTCACATTCTAACGTGCCTTTTACCGCCATTTTCTTTTTTAGCTTCATTAACTTTTTCTTTACATTTTCTAGCTGTCACTTTTACTTTACACAATTATTCTGGCAAAAGTAAAATTACATTTTTTGCCGCAAGTGCTCCCAGGCTGCACTGAAAGTGATACAGCTAGCTGCTGCCGCCACTAACCAATTAAATTAAATTCAGTTTATTTATAAAGCGCCAAGTCACAAAGGAAATCATCTCAGGGTACTGTACAGAAACATCTATATACATAAAAATCAATTAATCAATTAGTTGAATAATGTGCAGTTCTAGCTTTACGGAGAGCTTTTTTATAAGTTTTTAATCCATCTCTCCAAGATAAATGAAATTCTTCAGCATTAGTCGTTTCTTTCCAGTTTTCTAGATGCCTGTTTTAAAGTACGTAACTTGGAATTGAACCAAGGAACCACAGGATTCTATGTGAATATCTATGCAATGCTAAACTAACAGTGACGTTTTATATACTATACTATACTATACTATACTATACTATACTATACTATTCTATACTATATACTGTATATATACAGTATATATATAGGACATATACCGACAGCAATCCACTTTGGTCTTGGCCCAGTTCGAACTAGCGCTTAGCTAGTCAGTATGCTCACAACTAAACTCTTGTTTCTCCACCATGAGCGCTATCTACAACAGATAAGAATGGTTAACGTTTTGATAGAACCCCACGTCAATTGGTTTAATTCACAGTTTAGATATGGATTTTTATGGATTATGAAAACAAAAGCTAGCATGCTGAAGAGAGAAGTTCTGATTCTGTGTGCTCTTTAGTGAATCTGAGGAAACCAGTGCACAGAAGCTACGGGAGCAGCAGATGCAGGAACTTCTAAATCTCCGGCAGCAGCTTCACTTGCAAGAAGGAGTGATGCGACAAGAACAGTTAGTCGAGGTACGCTTCCACGAGTTCTTAACTAAATCAACTCTAATAGAAACCAGTGTCAAGTCAGCTCAGGAAAATCAAAGATGGTGTGTTTCTAGGAGTTGAAGAAGCTGAAGGAGTTGGCGGTTGAATGTCAGGCAGCTCAGGTGAAGAAGCTCAAGGAGATCTGCGACCGGTACGTTCACACCCAAAAGATCCAATGTCACAAATACAATGTCACTGAGAAAGCTTGCGTCTGCAGGGAGAAGAAGGAGCTCCAGAAGATCCTGGACAGGAAACGACAAAACAGCATCAGTGAAGCCAAGATCAAAGACAAAGAGAAGCCCGAAAAGTAAAAACGAAACTCCCTTTTCTTTACTCGCATGTCTGAGACGAGAACTATATTTAGGCAGGAAAGTTTGACCTTTTATCCACACTTCTGTTGCATTTTGTTGCTGTTGGACTTGATCGTTGCACCTCGTTTTACCTCTAAAGGGATCTCGAGGAGATCAACAGGAAACATATTAACGACTCTGTGGCCTCGCTACGCAAGGTGAGTGCTTATAACGCCACACACACTCCTCGTGAAAGGTGCTGGAGAGTTTAATTTTATTTCCTCTCTACGTTCTGCTCTCCAGCTGGAGGACGAGCAGAACAGGAGACAGGACAACATCAAACTGAAGCACCAGGAGCTGCTGTATTATTTAGACGAAACTCTTCCTGTCCTGGTGAGTACCAACACCCAGACCAACCACCGTCCTGTTGCCTTTAAATGCCACGGTCTTAGGATGGGATCGTGGAAAAAGGATGATGTTTTGAGCTTAAAAATAAAGTGCACAACATGACACTCTTCGAGTATGTGTTGGGGATGACCCTCAGCTACTACCACACCAAACTTTAGCTCAGAATCTATAAAACTGACTGAGCCACGTTTGTTTGCTTATGTTAAATAGTTGTGGCGACATAGACGTTGCAACAATTATAGATGAAGTCCCCCTCACGTTAAAAAAATATTCATTTGGACCCTCGATTCACAAAGCGCTGTTTCTATTTCTTCGTGAAAGAATCCATTCCACTTGATTAATAGACTCAAACCACTAAAAGTCCACTCCGGGTTTTCCTGGTTACCTAAAGCAAATCACTGTGTGCAGTGTTTCCCCTAGATCACTGAACGGGGAGGGAGAGGAGGGGGAGCAACTTCTATGTTGCATGCTAGTTTAGCGTCACGTTAGTTCTGGCAGTTGTCAGCCAAGGTGTGTGCTAGGATGCATGAGAGTAGCGGAGCGCTACGTCTGTAGCATCTTAGGTAGCGTGTCTGTATTGCACACTGCTAGTTTAGCGCTACTTTAGTGGTGGTGGTGGTGGTGAGGTTGTTCAGATGCGTGAGAGAAGTGGCGAGTGCTTTATTCACACAAGGTGAGCTGTTGGTCAGGCTTCTTCTTGTTGTGCCATTAACTCTAAAATATTTATTGAATCAAGTGTTTACTAATGGAGGTAAACATAGATTTTTAACAACCCGGTAAGAAATACCAGAATATATATATATATATATATATATATATATATATATATATATATATACACACAGCACCTTTTATATTAGTTGAGTTATTTTAATGAAATCGGCTGATATTGATACCATGCCGATAATATCGTGCATTACTATCAAAAAAGCTTCAACTCTGATCATAAGATGATCACACTCTGAAGCTCTGGGATGAAAGGCGGTGGGCGATGTGCATCCCTTCAGGGAACGCTGGTCCTCCAACGAGCGTTAGTCCTGTCGGTCAGGAGGTGGGTGAACTAACGTTGGTCGTTTGTGTTGGAGCAGCTCCGGGCTCAGCTGGATCAAGAGCTGGAAGAGGAGTCTCGTGCGCTGCCCGAAGAGATCTGCCGGCTCCTCCAGATGAACCTCCAGAACAAAGACCTTCAGAACGACGCCCTGCACTCGTCCAATCACAGCAGCCCCAGCTCGGGCCAGCCCTCCAACTGCTCCACGCCGCTGTTCCCCTCGACGCCCGACCGACGCAACCAGAACAACAGAGACGGCGGCATGTCCGACTCGAGCTCCACCACGCCCATCCTGTCTGAGGCAGAGATGTCGTTTGGTTAGACGGGAAACCCTCGTCCTTAGGGATCAAAATGAGGGATAAGAACCATAAACTTTTACTACTTTTATCCCTTTTTAAGGCAGACTGGTTCGTCCTCGTCTACAGAGATGTATTTTTTATTTTATTGACTTGTTAAAAAGTTTCGTAAGAATCATAATCTGTTTTTATTTTTACATTTTCTCAAGATTCTCTCCATTTGAATGTCTCGTCTTTCCTTTTTTTTTTTTTTTGTTGTTGTTGCAACATTTCCATCTTCATTTGATTTTAAGCTTCATGAGCTTTTCGTTTCCTGCATCTTTACCTTCTTTTTGAATTTTCCAGAAAGCTTCAAGCATCGACGAAAGTCTCTTGAGATCGTCATCGTTTAGCGACGTGTCGCTGTCTGAGGCCCGCGCATTTAAAAAAAAGAGATGAGCTCCACAGAAATATCAAAAATCAAACATTTTTCCTCTTTATGAAAAAGAAAATCTCAACATAGAACATTTTAACTGGAACTGAAGGGAAATAGTGATTTTATCTTTTAGCTGTAATGTGAGGAGCCGGCCTGTAGGTGGTGCTGCAACATCAACTAGTTTATTATAAAGCTGCTCCTTTAGTGTAATAATGATAAACTTGACTCTTTCATTCAGGTCTGGTGTAACTTGCAGCAACATTCTTTAAATTAAAACCTCTGGTCTTTTATTTTTTTTTTAAAGTTCTAGTCAAGTTTTAATGAATTGTCCTAAAATTAATGGAAACTTTTTGAAGTTTTGTGTTTTAATAACTGATCTGCTCTCGCTCTAGCTGCAGAAAGCGCCACACTCTGAGGACAAACTTTTGTTATTTTAAAAAATATATATCAGACGTCACTGAACTCCTGGAGGAAACACGTTTGTTTTTGTTTGGCCAGAAGATGATCCGATGAGGAGTCCGCTTCCTGCGGCTGCAGAACCCACACGAGTGTGTTTTATGTCCTTTCTCTGCTGTTGCTGTTAGTTTCCTTAATCAACCAGGAGATGGGCATTAGTTGACCCTCCTGCTGCCCTTGGCTCCAAATAATCCAGTCATTTTGGACAAGAGGGCAGCAGGAGGGTTAAATGATCAGATCATCAACGGAGTAAGGTTGTCTGATTACAGAAAGCTGCACTATGACGTCTTAAAGACTGCTTTTTGTTTTGTTTACCGCTGCTTGAACGTCATTTTATTCTCCAAACTGCTCAGACTTTTGTGCGTGGACATAGGAATGACTTTGATGTAAAAGTATTTTTACGAGTAAAACACGGTCCTTTAGACACGGTGCACATTAAGCTCAGTGAGTTGGACACTCCTGGGGTGTGTGGGGGGAGTGCAAACCTTAAAGGAACATCGAGTGGACAGTTCGTCTCTTTCAAAGTTGGGTTCTGTGTAGGTTATGAACATTTACTGTCTTACCTGCTGCAGATAGCTCTTCAAATGATTCAGTTTAGTCCTGACCAGACTGACGAGCTAAGGGCTAGTCCGAGTGAGGCCGACTTCAAGCTTATTAAAGCGATTCAAACGCCGTCAGATAAACGTTTACAATGTTTTTCAGTTTCTTGGTTATGTATGCAAGCACCCTTATGGACAGTAGCAGCTAGCTGTGGCTCGTCCTGCACGGATCTCAACTTTTTAAATTAAAAAACAACAACTTTAAAACGGTACGTGCAAACTTAAAAAAAAAAAAAATTATTTTTACCCTACCGTGGATTTCACATTCTAAGTGCCTCAGAATTCACAGGAAGTGCTACAGCTACCTGCAAATGGCCATAAATTCTACGTGAATATTCATGTAAAGTCAAACGATGGTGCTGTAAAACCTTGGGGCTCGACGATCCACTAGCCGTTAGCTCGTCAGTACGGTCAGAATTCAACTCTTTTTCACTCAAAGAATTATCTACAGCAGGTAAGATGTTAATTGTTCAGAGCATTTACATAGAAGCCCCCATTTCAAAAGAGCTGAACGTCCCTTTAATTTAAACGTATTGTTTGTTTCTGCCAAAGCTTCCAGATCTGCTGTATTTAATTGTTCTTTCTCAGCAGCTGTTTCTTTGTTTGTCCACTTGGAATCAAACGATGGTACTTTGTGTACATATTCTATGTATATGTGTAGTTGTACATGAGTTTTACTACTGATGGAGGTACAAATAGGGCTAAGGGAAGAAACCAAACTAATCTAATTGTAAAGTTTCGTCAAGGAATAGATTGTTTTTCGTTCATATTTGGGGGATTTTTCCCCTCCCTGTTGGTAACGAGCACTGGCTGCCTTTCTCACTGACGTCACGTCGAGTTATCTGTTTAAACTCACATTTAATTATTTTATTTTTTTCAATGGTTGTTGAAGTTCTTGAATAGAAAAAAAAATCAAGAGTGCCAAATAATGGAAACGTTTTCAATATCAAGACAGTTTGCATGAGTTTTTAAAGGATTCTTGTGTGCCTGAAATACTAAAACTGGATCTTTTAAAAAATATATATATATTATTATTATTAGTTTTTGGGACCGCCACAACAGCCGCCTGTATGAGTCAACGTTTTCTTTGAAAGAAATGTTTAATCTCTTGAGTTTTATTATTTTTTTTAAAGAGAGGGAAATAGTTCGCCTATCCGCTGCTCTGTGCTTTTCGAAGCTTTAAGTCTAAAGAAAATAATAATAACACTTTTACCGGACACATTCCTCCCAGCTCCAACAGGCGGAGAAACTTTTACTTTAAATGAACATCAGTGAGTTTGGTTTTCATGGAGTTTTCAGGTACTTTACAAGTTTTTCATTCTTTTTATTGTGAAAAGCAAACTTGTCCTTTTTCCATTTTGTTAAAATGCACTTTTGTTGATCAGTTTTGAATATTTGTGTTGTTCCTGTGATGCACACTTAAATACAACCACCTTTTAATAGCATTTACTTTCTGTGTTAAATATCTGTGGGTTGTTGCCTTTTCATTGTTTTACAAATTTACTAATGTAATTCCGTTTTTTTACGGTGACCCTATGGTGTAAATGAACAACATTTGAAAAAAACGGAATTACATTAAGCCAAACCGGAAGTGTTTTTTAAACTTTATTAACAACATAAAAGAAAACAACAGAACATTGTACAGTAGAGTCATTCCTAGTATTCAGTGCCTTTTGAGTCCCTATGCCATAATGTGGTATATTTTGTTTAACGGGTGGCTAATATTTCTTTTATTAATCTCATCTTATATGTTTGACTCCCCTCTACCATAAAACGCAATCATATGTACACAAGATGAATTAATTTAAAATAATTAAATCTAATTTTAAATGCAACTTGAGTTTACAGCGATGTCACTTTTCATGCTTCCTGAAATTAAGTTCCAATTCTAAGTAATAAAAAAAAAAAATGTCATTTAAAATATATAATTTTTTAATGGTACTATTTATAATGGTTCTCATCCAATTACTTTTTATGATCCCAAAATATTTTTTATGCTTAAATTATTAAAAATAAATTGAGTCCTTGAGTCAACTGTCCACCCTGTTACTTTAAAATACCTGTCACCCCCGGTTTGGCCTAATGCAATTCCGTTTTTTCACCACTTCCACTTTGGCTGCTTCCGCTTTGACCACTTCCGCTTTGGCTGCTTCCGCTTTGACCACTTCCACTTTGACCACTTCCACTTTGGCTGCTTCCGCTTTGACCACTTCCGCTTTGACCACTTCCACTTTGGCTGCTTCCGCTTTGACCACTTCCACTTTGACCACTTCCACTTTGGCTGCTTCCGCTTTGACCACTTCCGCTTTGACCACTTCCGCTTTGGCTGCTTCCGCTTTGACCACTTCCACTTTGACCACTTCCACTTTGGCTGCTTCCGCTTTGACCACTTCCGCTTTGACCACTTCCGCTTTGGCTTAATGTAACTGTTTTTTTCCCCCCTCCCAAATATAATTTCGTTTTTTGAAATGTAATTTTGCTTTGTCAAATGTTGTTCATTTACACCTTAGGGCCACCACATTTTTGCACTCTTAAACTGAATTAATTTGGTATTGCTTTAAACAGTCATTGCTTTAAACGCACAGTAATTTTGAATCATTTGTTACAGAACAGAGTTTAGTTCTCTAACAGTTTTAGACTAAAGAGGTATTTCAGAAAAACCGGACATGATGTAAAAACTGTGTAGTTACAGACTCTCGGCCTCAAACTCTAGTGTGATCAAAAATGTGTGTTAGAAAGTTGCAAACTAAAACTAGAAGCAACACTAACACAATTTACAACTGCATGTGTGACAAATGCAAAACAAAACTACTGGTACTTTAAAATTTAAAGTATAAAACCAACACTTAGATTATTTAATAATCTAACAAAGTGGTGTTGTTTTTAAACTTGTGGACTCTGACAGATGTTGGTTCTGGGTTGTGTAAACCCCCTCAAAAATATAATTTAAACAAAATCCAGGTGCGGCGGGGACACCAGCGTTAATGGTAAAAGTGTTTTCCCTTATTCTGTCCAGTGCAGATACGTGTAGAGTTAAACTGACCGTTTAGAAGTTCAGCTTGTAATTTCCGATGGTTACGTAGATTTTTAATTCCTTGGTGAACTTTCATACAAAATCTTACTCTTAGCCCATCTTACCAATTTCCATTTAACTGCTCTTACCATCCACACTGCTCCGGATATTTTTTTAAACTGAGATTATTTAATGCACTTAGTTAGAAATTGAGTTTTTTTGAGAAAAATAGACGATTTTTAGATATTCTTTTCAATGTGGAGATGTTTAAAAAAAAAAACTTGTGATGTGCCCGTGTGGACGGGAAATACGGAGGTTTTCAAAAACAGTGCAGCAGCTTGTTTCAAGCGTGCCCACATTTACCTTGTGCCCTAGAAACCAAAACAAGTCATTTTTACCGATTTTTTTATTTTTTTTTGGTCTTGCCTCGTACCAAACTTGTTAACGTTAAACTTTTGAACGCGTGTTAAAATGGTTAGTAGCTGAAAGAAATTGGGAAATATTATTTAAAAAAAAGAAGTAAAAAAAGTGTTGTTTCTGGCCAAAACATGTTTTTTATCTGTAAATTATTGTCTTTATTGTGAACGTTCCCTCCTAATAACACAGCATGGGTTTTTCAGTGTTTTTCTTAGAACGCATGCACAAATATATGAATGAACTAAAAATATCCTAACTTAGGGCCTTAGTCTTTATTTTGAAGTAGCCTATATGTGAATTACCATATAAAAAATTTATATTCCACACATCTGCATATTGTTTTGACTAATGATAAACAATGCCATTTCTTGTATTCCCCGGTAATCCCAGTTTGGGATAAAACAAGTGTTTTAACAAAACTGTGTGCCTCATGCTAATTTTAACGTGCTAAAGAAGAGAGCTAAGTTTAGCCAACTGTAAAACACTTGAAAT